TATATATAAAATATTTTTAATTGTTATTAATGAAAGTGATATAATATATTATCTAAAAATCAATTGGTTTATTAATTAAGAAAACACTTCTAATTATTTACGCAAATATAGTGATATTCCGGACTTCTGGAATTTTTATACTTTTTTTCTCATACTTTTTTCCTTTTTTTTAAACTTTCTTTTCTCTTTTTTGCTGTATAATGTGAAATTTTAAATTTATCTTTTTTTACATCCAATTTTTTAACATATATTTTTTTCATAGATTTGAAATATTTTAATATTTCATAAAATAATATGATTTCAGTATCTTATCAAATACTTAAAATATGTATTGATGTTAGATATGGACACCAAAAACATTACATTTTAAGAACTCGAACTGAATTTCAAAATATTAAGGACTAAAAATATTTTTATCCTAAAATTTAACGATAAGGAAAGTTTTACATTGACCAAGTTAACCGTAATAGGCAACCTAGCCAGTGAGAGATTTTATTTGTATCTAAATTTTGTGTTATTAATTATATTATCATCGCTAATATTAACTTTCAAATGCATAGCAGGCAAGAAGTAGAAGCTAAAGACAAGGTGTTAGGGGTGATCATGGCCCATGTATCCTTCATTATGAAGATCCTAAGTGATGTTCAAACATGGGCTATTCTTAAGAACACATAATTGAAGGACATGAAAAAGGAAGCCATCTTGAAACACAAGATTTGTTCACTAGGCCTTGTGCTTGATACAAATGTAAATTTCTCAAAATAGGCATGCTAAAGAGGTATGTTAATCAACAAGCTTGTCCTAACTCCCAAGGTATTTAAGAGCATCATGATTGGTGAAGAGGACAAATTCCTGCTAAAACAAATATTGATGCCAATGTTTTTTTACTACTTGAAATATTGCATAAATTCCATATTGTATGGAATGTAGCGAAGTTTAACACCAAAAATTTTCTTGTTGAGGAAGGAAATTGGGCAACTCTCAAATACATGTTTTATAAGCATCACATTGTAGCTTAAATAGTAGAGAAAAATTAAGAGGTACCTAAAGTGGTGTTATGATTAACTTGTGTTTTATGTCAAAGAATAAGGTGCAACATTACCTGTCTAGATGAATTTAGTGTCCTTCATGGAATCAATTTAGGACCATGGTACTACTAAAGTGAGGGATAAAATGATGATAAAAGTATGACAAACCATGAAAGTTATGTTCAATAGTATAAAGACTTGGCTATTGTTCAATAGCGTCAATTTTAGAAATATCAACATCAATACAACCTGAGATATTACATACCCCAAAAGGTGAATAGTGTCAGTGAGGAAGACACATTTTCCCAATGCGTCATATAACTTTTCCTTGCACAAAAATGGACAAACCCTTATGTTAGTATATCATCAAAGTAATTGCTAATATATTTAGCCATTAAAAGACACAAAGTTTGGTACATAATACACATAAATGTGTTAGGTGCATTAGAAAGACCAAATGGCATGACCAACCATTCTTACAAGCCCTCGCATGTTTTGAAAGTAGTATATATTTCATTCAGCATTAGAATAAATCCAAAATTTGAATATAACCACTCTTTTAAATCTAGCTTGTTGAATATTGTGGCACACACTAAATGATCAAGGAGACCATTCCAAATGAGGCATGAGAAAACAATAACCAACAATTATTTTGTTGATGGCACGACTATCCACACATGTGCCATGTGTCATCCTTTTTAATGTGAGGAGTAGGCATGACACAAGGACCTAGACACTTGCATATGTCTCCTTTGGCAAGTAACTCCTCCACTTGACTAATATTTCTTCATGTTCTTTAAGGTTCATCCTATAATTGGGATAGTAAGGCAAAAAGACATTCAGAGCAAGGTCAATTTGGTGTTGAATATCACGAAATGGGGGTAAGTGGTTGGGGAGTTCTTTAGGAAATATGTTTGCAAATTCTTTTGATAATCGATGGACAAATGGATGATGGTAGCATTTGGTGTGTCGCCCATATATCTTATGACAACACATTAGTTGTGATAAAAGTTGTTCATCTTGAGAATTTTATACATGTTATAAGTTGTGACTGATGTTAAAGTTATGGTTATGTTTTAAGTTGGAAAGAAACCTACTACTTTAAGTTGATTTTTAATTGTTGAAGTTGTTACTTCCTTATTTTGTTATTATATTTGTTTGTCAAGTCACATCAATTGTCATGTGGTGGAGACCTTTGTGGGTCAAGTCATAGTCAAGACACATAGTTATTGGATAGCTATAGTTAAGTAAAAAGAGTTACACCCTAACTAGCTATTAGTTATATCTTTTGTCCTAATGGTAAGCACTCGATCCAACAATTGGTATTAGAGCCAAGGTCACGTATTCGATTCCCAACGAGAGAAATTGTTATGGAGGAGATTGTTTGTCAGGTGGCATCAATTGTCCCGTGATAGAGGTCTAGGTGGGTCAAGTCATAGTCTAAACATGTGGTGTTTAGGCTGTTACGATTAATTTAAAAGAATTGCGTCCTAACTATTAGCTATATATTTTGGCCTAGTGGTAAGTGCTTGATTCAACAATATTGTTTTCTTTCACATGCTTACCTTTACTTTTTTCATATTGTTGGACTACAATGATCATACTTGGTATATGAGTAAATTAGGATTTGGTGGTAGACTTGTTGGGAGATTTGTCATGCATATAGGAGATAACCTTGTTTTGTACTATTCTAATACAATATCTCGTATAAAAATGCTTGATCGGAAATAAAGTTTTATGCTTTTAGTATTTGGTATCTTGATGCATATTGTATATATATATACATGGTTTTTATGTAACCTTATAAAAAGTTTTATGATTTTAAGTCATATAGGTAGGCATTGTTTCATCTCTTCTACACCTTATACATGTATTTATTACATGAATGACTATGTATTGTTTCCCCTGGAGTAGTTGAAGTACTTTATTTTATTTTGTTGCATTATATTAAGTGTAACGAACTGTTGGGTTGTTATAAACAAGGATTCTAGTCTAAAATATATATTCTATTGTTATTTATGAATTGTTTTGTAAGATGGTATTGGTTATCTTCTTGGGGACCTAGTTGGTGTTGTTAGGATTCTAGCTTATGCAATTCCCTCAATGTATTTTTTTCCTGCACTTTTGTTGTACTTGTTTCCAAAATTGACGATTAATGAAAGGCGTGGGACTCTCAAGTTTAGTTACCTCAATTAATGTTGCCTTGGATAATGATCCTCCAAAGCTGATACTGGATGGACTTGATGAATATTTCCATTTTCTCCTTCCAGTAGGGTATCCTCTCCATTAAAGGCTGGAGGCCTTGTGAAAGAAGCTCCTTCCGACAAGTATATATTGTCCTTCACTACTCCTTATTTTGGATTTTTTTTCCTTTAGCATTGTTAAATGCTCAACCCCGTCAAAAGTTGAGCTCTAATACCAACTGTTAGAGAAAAAGATACACACTAGAAAGGGAGTTGAATACTGTATATTAAAAACTCGCGTTTTTGGAGTGAAATAGTAAATGCTCTAATGAATGAAGTACTGGAGAGTGATCAAACGAAGTACTAAAACAAACGAAATGGCACAAGTGTTTTATACTAGTTCATCTCCAAACTAGAGACTATGTCCAATTCCCAATCCAAGCAGATTGAGTTCCACTATCTTATACAAGATACAAGTATTCTTTACAAGCCATTTTTGGCTAAACACCAAGTATTCTTTACAAGCCATTTTCTAGCTAAAATCTAAGTATTCTTTCAACAAATCTCTTCAGGCTCAAGCCCAAGTATTCTTTAGCACAAGACTCTTCAAGCTTAACCATTGAATATTTTTTTGCACAAGTCTTTCCAAACTCAACCCTTAAAAATAAATTTGACAAGAGTTACAATTATAGCTTTGTCTCTTCTAGACATGATGCTATACAAATACAACACAAAAAGACTACAAAGAACAATACACAAGATTTTTAATGAAGATCCTCTTTATAGTCTTTCAGCGTGTTCTTAGTGTGTTTGATAAATGTGAATTGCTCAATGAGAGTTAATCTTTTATGCACAACACATTTCTTTGAATGCTTATTCTATGTTCTTAATCACTTGTCTCTTTCTTTGTAGTATGAAGGCTTGATTATTATATAATAGTTTCAGAAAAGATGATCGTTGCAACAATGTCTAAGTTTAAACGTTCAATTTTTTTCACAAGTTGCTTCATTTTTCTTCCTTGTTGATTTTAAAGAGTACTGTTGATGCATAAATGCTCATTAGAGATGCATGTACTCTTATCGAATCTAAGCAACTACTTATCATAATTTCCTTCTACTTTTGAATGTAGCAGAAAGTGTCAACATAAAGCAGTTGGGACTAGTGCAAAGTAGTCTTTTTCAGTCCCTTTTCTGTGATATCCGAGATTGTGCTTTTTGGCTTTTCATGGAGATTTTATCTTTTTCCTCTTAAATACACTTCGAGACTTTTGAAGCTCCTTTTTGTTCAATCTGCTAAGAAATAACACATTAAATGAAATGCAATGTCAGTCTCATATAACAATGTTCATTTAATGTCGTTAGAAGGACTGTGTGCTTCATCTGATTTCTTTCATCTTACATATGATATGTATTTTCTTCACATTTCATCTGATTTGTTTTATCTTTGAAGAAAACTTTCATTTGCTTGAAGAAAATCTTTTTGTTTGTCAGCATTAAAACTTAAAGAATTGTTTGTTGTCTTAAAACAAGAATTTTGATTTAACAAACATATGCAAAGACTTTAATACTTAAGTCAACATTTTACTTAAGTGTTTACAATGGTTGGTTTATAATAGTTGCAACAATAAAATAAAATGATTCTTTTTATTCATAGACTTCAAAGTTTAAATTTTAGCAACTTTTAGTACTAACTAGACTTCCTCCCAATGAAAAATAAATAAATAAAATACAATTGCTTTAAAATAAGGAACCTATAAATAACTAGAGTTGAAAATGCACTAAAGCATATGAGTTATGCTATATATGTTATGCAACATATTCTAAAATAAGGAAGAGAATATAATATTAATATTTATTAATAAAAGAAAATTTATTTTATTTTAAAATAAAATCTATTAATATTTCATAAAATTTAGAACTTACAATAAAATATCTTGAAATTTAGTTTGTCTGTAGCTCGGGAAATTAATATATATATATAATTGTTATTAATGAAAGTGATATAATATATTATCTAAAATTCAATTGGTTTATTAATTAAGAAAACACCTCTAATTATTTACGCAAATATAGTGATATTCCAGACTTCTGGAATTTTTATACTTTTTTTCTCATACTTTTATCCTCTTTTTTAAACTATTTTCTCTTTTTCGCTGTATAATATGAAATTTTAAATTTATATTTTTTCACATCCAATTTTTTGTCATATATTTTTTTTCATAGATTTGAAATATTTTAATATTTCATAAAATAATTTGATTTCAGTATCTTATCAAATACTTAAAATATGTATTGATGTTAGATATGGACACCAAAAACATTACATTTTAAGAACTCAAACTGAATTTCAAAATATTAAGAACTAAAAATAATTTTATCCTAAAATTTAACGATAAGAAAAGTTCTATATTGACCAAGTTAACCGTAATAAGCAAGCTAGCCAGTGAGAGATTTTATTTGTATCTAAATTTTGTGTTATTAATATTATCATCGCTAATATTTCAATTCATAAGACGAATTAGATTTTCCAAAAAAATAAAATAAAATTGAAGTTTTCTTGAAAGATAACAATTAAGTTACGAACGCACAAAGTCATGTTCGTCTATTGTGCTTTCGCTGCCTGCTTTGATGTAACTTGTCTGCTGCCAAAGCAAAAAGAGAAGCATTTCCCTAACGAAGCAAGGGAACAATAAAGAGCAAAGCAAAAGAAACAAAGCAGGGAACAAACATATATAGTTTTCTCCATTCCTGGTTAATAGCCAACTTCATCATAAGGATAGAGAATGGAACGGAAGAGTATATAAGAGTTTTTTACCTTCAACTTTTGTCTCTTTATGATGAAGGAAGATCTACACTCTACATAACAACCACTCCAAGACTGAACTGTAGTTAAAAGGAAAAGCAATGAAGAATTTGTCAGCAAAAGCAAATTAAAGAGAAACTGGCACTCTTTTGTGCATGGCCTCCATGAATCTTTCTTTAAGAAAAGAAAAGCTACAACCAATTAACTTGTTGAATTGTAGGCTACGTAATGTGAAGAATGTTTGTGATATATATGGATCTACAATTTGTATGTTAATTAACTATTATAAGTTAAATAAGATTTAGATGTATTAATTATTTATTCTCTAAAATACACTTATTTAACTAATAATTCATTTAGATAAAAATTAATAAATATTTGAAATTAATTATAAAAATTTATTTCTTATTAGAATTTGAGAAGATAACCAGACGCATACATATTTTTAATACATTAATTAATTAAGTAGAAAATGATTAAGTAAAAAAAGAGAATGCTAATTTAAAAAAATGTTAAAGATAATTTTAAAAAGTAGTTTAAATTATTAACAAATTTAATAGACATAATTAAATTAACAAATCTTTTTCAAGGATGTAATTTAGTTAAAAAGTTCTTATAATTAGCAACAGATGTAGTAAATAGATGAAATAAAATATCAATTTTATAAAATTAATCTTATATGTCTAGTTTTTTTTATATTATAAATAATACAATATAATAATCACTTTTTAAGGAATATTATGAGAAATATAAGTGAAAAATATACATAACTCCTATTTTACGACTTATTTTTTCTGAGTATAACACTTATTAAGAGAGAGTGTGTATTTCCCTTTAAAAAAAAGAGAGAGAGAGAGAGAGAGTGTATTTATTACGTAAAATGAACATATCCTCCTATTTAAAGTGTTGAAACAAGTAGCATAGTAAAAGAAAGATATCTGGTTGGAGAGAGAAGAAAGAGAAGGGGAAATGGTTAACCCAATTCCAAAATTTGCAAAGAATGTATGGTCCAAGTGGAACATCAGGGGTGTTGTCCTCGTTAGTCTCTCCTTGCAGATAATTCTCATCGTACTAGCACCTTTCAGAAAACGTTCTAGAAAAAACATATTGGTTTTGCTGCTATGGTCAACGTACCTTCTTGCAGATTTTACTGCCAGCTTCTGTGTTGGACTCATCTCCAACAAATATGGCGATGAAGACACACCCATTTCCAGTGTCAATGACTTCTTGCTCGCCTTCTGGACACCCTTTCTGCTGCTTCACTTAGGTGGCCCTGACCCCATCACTGCTTTTGCTCTTGAGGACAATGAACTTTGGCTAAGGCACATGCTTGGACTCATTGTTCAGGTTTGCATAATAATCTCCTTATATAGTTAAATTTCTTTGAATTTTAATTTTCACTTTGTATATAATGTAGGTTTTGTCATTCTACTTCACTTTCTTTATCTGCTGATATTTTTCATGTTACACTTCTCCTGATTTTAAGGAAGTCAAATTTACATGGATAATGATATTTTCACAGCCCTAATTTTGTATGAAATCACCAAATTAATTTATCCATTCACAAGAGGAGAGGACTTCGAGGGAGAATAATAATTTTTAGATATCTCATTATTTTAACACTCATCAGCACCTCTTATTTCTCTTTATTTTTCGACTTCCTATCATATATATATATATCATGATTACTTAATTATTAAATCTAAATTTTTCTCTTTCTCTCTCGTTATGTGTTAAATAGGATCTGCATGTGGTCTCTAAATTTCATTTTTACAAGAAAGAGAGGAAAAAACAATATAAGAGTATGTGAGGATATATATATATAAGTGTACAAGTCTTTTTTTTTTTTTTTTTTTTTTTTTTTTTTTTTTTTTTAAGAATAACTCTTTATTTTCATTAGAAAAACTCTTTAAAAAATTTGTAAATTTGTAAACAAATATACAGAAAGTATTAGAAAGGAAGACTTTGCGATATTATAATAGCAATATATATATAAGTAGTGAATAAGCCAGGAAGAAGCTGAAAATTAAGTCTACTGGATAACACACTACTAATTAAATTTGTTTTACGATGCATATTTATTGTTAAATTTTGATAAAAATAAAAAGAACGATATATTAAAAATATCACATTATCAAATGACTAGTAAAAGAATGTTACACCCTCTATTCTACATTTCATAAGACATAAATAATAAAATAAACCGAATAATATGATCTTCACACATTAATCAAATGTGTTTAGGTAGAAAGTATCACATGTTTAACTTAACCAAATAATATAATCAATGAAATTGTAAGGAAATAAAACTAATATTTTTCAAAATAATTCAACAAAATAATATCCTAATCTAGTTTTAACTACGCTCCAATGTTATATGTCTTATTAGAGAAAAATCTAACGTTGAAACCTCAATCTCATCACCAACATCTTCAACATTATGCTGATGATTACTTACATATAATAACCTAGGAGAACAACACATAGTAAAGGGAGTAAGAAACATATCACTCTAGCTCATGTTACAAGAATGCAAACCATATATCCAAACACTAATCAGGAATATAAGATATAGCATACACAAATATACATTATAACCACAGCCATTTAGTCATAGATAACAAACAATAACAATTGCATTATTAATACAATGGACATGTACTACATGTTATCATGCATGTGATATCAATAAAATATCACGTACCATACTTGTGCATTGTTTGTCAACAATACACATAGAGTTTAGGAGTACATACAAGGTCACATCTTTTACGCACTCTCATTAGAAGGACATACTATCAGAGTCTGATCAGGATACTAAGCCGCACAAGAAGCATTCCATACTCATGAGAAAAAAACTAGGACTTTTAAATCAAAATATCTCCAAAGTTGGTTCTCAAACTTTTACATAAGGGGCCTTCCCTGATGGTGTATTTCATACACTACTAGAAAAATTAAAATTAGAGAGGGAACAAATCCGTCACTAAATTTGATAAAATCCTCCACAAATCAATTAGTGACGGAATTTGTGACGGAAATGATTCCGTCACAAAATTTGGCGTCACAAAATATTTAGTGACGGATTATTTTCTCCGTCACAAAATCCGTCAAAAATATTTTTTTTTTGATTCAGTGACGAAATTTGTGACAGATTTTTAGAGACGGAATATATTTCGTCACAAAATCCGTCACAAAAGTCAATAAAATCTTGTCCGTCACAAAACTTAAAATTCCCTCACAAAATGCGTCACTATTAGCGATGCTATTTTTTCCGTCACAAAATTCATCACAAATATTAATTTTTCTAGTAGTAATAGCATATCCTTTAAAAAATAACTTTTTATGCACAAGATGCATGTTAAATAGATTCAATACAATAACATACACATGATCTCACTTCACATATCATATGTTCCTCATATCACCTTGTATATCTCATGTGCATTCTCAAACACATCAACTAATCATTAATTAGTAAAAAGGTAGTATCAAGATCATAAGGATAAAATAAACATCTAATAGTCGTCGAGCGAGCTAAGCTCCCTAGAGCCCCTCCTTGAGCAAATAACATCTAACTAAGCCACCAACATCTGGCTGAGCCACCAATGTTTAGTTGAGCAACCAACATCTAGCTTAGAGAGTTAGGACTTCTTGTTAAGCGACCAACATCTAGTTGAGCGAGTTGAGTCCCTTAAGGCTTCTCGTTGAGTGACCAATATCTAGCTGAGATAGCTAAGATCCCTAGAGCTTCTCGCTAAGCAACCTTGTAGGTCTTGTTGAGTGAGAACGTGATCTTCCTTTGTGGAAATCACGTCTCCTCAACAACTACAAGTTATCCACATCAATTTCATCGCATAAACACATATATATAATCGATAAAATTGTTCTATAACGTGCAATTAATATTTCAAATCACTCAATTTACACATATCAATTAATAGTTTCACTAACTATTACAACAAGTTTGCTTAAGGTTTCCCAAAGGAACCCATAATTACCTCAGATCATACAATAACAATCCAAAACATACAATTGATCATACATTCTGACAATTCATGTCATTAATTATGAGTTAGAAGAAAAAAGTGCAAAATAGAAGCATTAGGGAAAATCCTTCATACATAGGCATACATCATACATAAGATTGGGGTCAATCTCACTACCTAGTATACAAACTTACACATAGAGCGAGGTTTCTCACTTTCTGCTCCCTATCTTATTGAACAGAAAAAGATGGATGATTGACTTCGGGGTGATTTTCATCTTGCTCTTAATCTCTGACCTTTAAGCATAAAAAAAAGAGAGTACAAGATAGGAAAATGCGTAAAAATTGATCAAAACTCTCCTTTCAAAAATTTAACCTTCCCTTAACCCCTCCTATAGTTAAAACACCAAACCTTAATTTCTAATTCTCTTCCCTATTAATTAATTAAAATAAAATATTTAATTAAAACCTTTAATAAAACACCTTATATTATATGTTAAAACATATCAAATAATTAAAATAAATATTAAACAACTCTTATTAAAAAAATAAAAATCAAAAATCAAAATAATTAATAAAATATTTCTATCATATTTTATGAAAAATGAAGTGTTACAAAGAATACTATGTATAATATAATAGAAGATGCTTTCTTTGTTAATTTAGCATGAATATTTTATTTTATTATATAATATTAACGAGATAATACTTCTGAAATTTAAAAATAATTAATCTGAATCAACTATTGAAATTATATGATAGGATACATTAACGGATGTAATATATATAGACATTTTTATCTTCACAATTGAATAAGTTAAAATTAATTCAATTAAAATAATTTCACTAAAAAAAATAAAATAAATAAAATATTAGATGCTAGCATGTTATTTATTGAGAAAGAAGTCTGAATTAGTTTTAAAAATGAAAATTAAATAAACTATAATACTATATATTTGTAAATAAAAATAAAATTATATATAATTTTTAGAAGGAATATTTGTTAAGAGTGGACTCAAGGACCTGGGGCCAGCTATCCCACCCTTTGAGGTGCCTCTAACGTAGCGAGGAGATTAGTCACTGCTATCGGCGGGGGGTACTCCAGGGACGAACAAAAAAAAAAACTCAAGGACCTGGGCCACCTTACCTCTCACGTTTGAGTTCGTGACGATGACAAAATATTAAGGTGGGAATATTCTTTTTATCACACCCGTATTTTGATTTTTTTTAACATTACCCATAACATTATGGTAAAAAAGAAAAAAGAAAAAGAAGTAAAACGAGAAAAAAAAAAAAAAAAAAAGTCGGTTTAATATCTTCCTTTATTACACCGTAAGTAAAAGAAGAGGGGTCTGGATATTCCTTCGTTTAACTGTAAAAGTGTAAACGAGAAGTTTGTGGAAATATTGTAGGTGTAGTTTGATGAAATAATAGTTTTATTTTGATGTTTTTGTACTCTTCTTAGTTAAGTTGAATGTGCAGTTAGTAGATGTATTGTTATATGTACGAACATAGTTGAGTTTTGATATGTATTCTAACTAGTGATACCGAATATTTGAGTTTGAATGCAGGTATGTCTAACTGGTTACGTGTTCCTCTTGACACTTCCCGAAAACACGTTATGGCTCCCTACATCCCTTGTTTTCATGGCAGGGGTAATCAAGTTTGCAGAAAGAACTCGGTCTCTTCAGCGTGCAAGCGTTAGCAACTTCCGCCAATCTATGGTTCGGCAACCAGATCCAGGTCCCAATTACGCAAAGCTCATGGAGGAATTCAACTTTAGACGGGAAGCTGGACTTCCCACCAAAATAGATAAGATGCCAGAAATTTCTGATCTACCTGATGACATCAATGAGCTAGAACACACCACTTCCAACGCAGAAACGAAACCAGCTGAGATTGCTGAAGAGAATGATGATGGTCCTCCCCCAAATACTTCAACACCTAACATTGGCACCCCAGTAACGAACGTTGATGATGATCTATCCGATGTGCAGGTGGTGATAGAGGCTTATCGCTACTTCAATATATTCAAAGGGCTCGTTGTTGACATGATCTTCAGCTTCCATGAACGTAGTGAGAGTCGAAATTTCTTCATCAACCTAACAGCAGTAGATGCTTTGAGGATCATAGAGGTTGAACTCAACTTCATCTACCAAGCGTTCTACACCAAGGCAGAAGTCATATGCAGTATGGTAGGGTTCTTCTTTCGGTTTGTCTCTGTGGCTTCGGTCGTGGCAGCCCTAGTTATTTTTGTTTATGACCAAAAGCGTGGTTGCCACAAGTTTGATGTTAGGGTCACCTACACGTTGTTGTATGGTGCTGTGGCCTTGGATGGAGTATCATTGTTGATGCTCATTTTCTCTGACCATTCATTTGCATTACTCAACTCTCTTACCTCTCAGAAGGATGATTCTGAATCTGATGCTGGCACTGGAACACTCAAAAACTCTAGTGTTGTTAGAGGTTTCCTCAAGCTTAAGAGGTTTTGTATAGAACATACGCTTAAGAGCGAATCTTTTAGCAGTTTCCTCAAGCTTAAGAGACCGCTTTGGACAAAAGAAAAAGAGATTAGGAGACCAGCTTGGTTTAAAAGGAGGCGATATAGCAAATTGTGTAGGCGACTATTATTTCGAAGATGGTCTGAATCCATTTCGGGGTTCAATTTGGTAAGATATTGCCAACACAAGAGGAAAAATTGGGTGGATGATGTGATCAAATACATTGGAGCCAAAGAGGTGGTGGACCAATGGAAATATGAGGAGAAACAGCCATTGCTTCAAAAGCTTTGGATTTTTATATTTGAGGAGCTGGAAAGAAAATCTGGGGATGCAGAAGATGTTGAAACTATACAAAGAATGTGCTCTTCTAGGGGTGAGTGGGTTATCCAAGAAGGTGAATTAGAGAGAGATGATTTAAACAAATTGATGCCTTATGTTGAGCGCAACAATGTTACCTTTGATCAATGTCTCATTCTGTGGCACATTGCCACTGACCTCTTGTTCTATGAAGCTGAAGATGAAAGGAAAAATGAAAAGGAAAAAGAAAAAAAAGAAAAGGAAAAAAAAAAAGAAAAAGAAAAAGAAAAAGATCTAGATCTTGAGAAAGGAAATGATGGCATTGACAATAGAGATGGTGTCCAAGATGTTAGGCAAAAAAAGAATGGAAGTCATCCAGACCAAGAGAAAGGAAGTGGTGATGGCATTGAGATTGATGGTAAGGGGAAAAAGAATGGAAATGATCCAGATCGCAAGAAAGGAAGTGATCAATATAATGATGATGAGCTTCAGGATTTTAGTAAGCTTTTGTCTGATTACATGTTGTACCTTTTAATCATGCAACCTACCATGATGTCTGCTGTGAGGGGAATTGGGCAGATAAGGTTCCAAGACACGTGTGCTGAGGCCACTAACTTCTTTAGCAAGAGGGAAGGGATAGAAAATATTATTGCTAAACAAAGAACCATTAGACGCACACTAGATGCGATTATCGCTCTGGGAAACAAGATGCGCAACAAACTTGTTGATTTCATTAAGAAGTTGGCTAAGTTCACTACAAAATGTGAAGATCCAACAGAAAATGGTGAAGAACAGAAAGAAAGTGATGAACAAAAGGCGTGCAAGAAACTCAGAGATGTGAATGTTGAACACGATCCCTCTGATGTGAAGGGAGATAGGAGCAAATCTTTGTTGTTCGATGCTTGTAAACTGGCCTATGTTATAAATAATTTAAAAGGGTCGAGGAACAAATGGAAAGTCATAGCACAAGTATGGGTGGAGTTATTATCATATGCAGCTGCTAATTGCATACCCATTACCCATGTCCAACAACTTAGCAAAGGTGGAGAATTCCTTTCCCTTGTTTGGTTATTGATGACCCATTTAGGCCTTGCCAAGCAGTTTCAAATCAAGGAAGGCCATGCAAGGGCAAAATTGATCGTGGGTGAATTCGAAGAAAATCAGAACCAAGGTAGCTAAACACAATAACTTGTAATTTGTTATTAATATTCTTTAATTTTGTTGTTCTATAAGACTAGATGTAAAACTCCTTTTGTATTTTATACATGTATGTGACATCATAAATCGGTGTGTGTTTGCTGTTAGTAGGAAATATAGAGGTTACTCGTTTGTGGTTTTGCGCATGCATTTGATTTTTAGTTTCAACAAACAGATGTATATGATTTTCTATCAAGAAAATATATTAATATTAAAGGAGTTTTAAATGTATCTCTATCCATGTATAAATTAAGTAACCTTTGACAAATTATGTAATATATTGATGGAATCATGCTTTGGAGTGCAAGAGGTGACATACTCAAAGAACTAAGAGGAGTTGGCTAGACATGAAGATTTGGGCCAGTTAGGGCCCAATGGGCCTGATGGGCCTGGGAAGGCCCAAGTTGAACTTTTCATGGGCCATATTTTGTTATAGCTATTTTCATATGTTTTGTATACATCATGTTAGTATAGGTATCATATATTTTGGTCTTGTATTTTGGACCACATAGAGTAGCATTTTAGGTTTTAGGCTTGTTGGGCCTAGTTTTGGGCTTCATGGGCCTTTGGGCTTTTGGTACCCAATATTGGGCTCATTTTCATTCTTGTAATTTTTCCTTTCCATTGTATTTGTTTGACCATTGTATTTAGGTCATTAGATTAGGAAAATACAAGAAATACTAAAGTAGGTTAACTAGGTTAAATTAGGTTTAATTTGGAAGCCATTTAAGTTACATTTGAGTCACATGTTTTGCACCAATTGGTGGCTGAACATGTGACACTCAAATTAACCCTAAATGACTCTCAAATCAGACCTAGATGCACATTAGGTACCTAAACTCACGGCCACACCCATGTGCACCAAAATTTGAATTCAAATTTCCAATTTGAATTCAAATTTTAGGCGCCAACTTGTGTAGCTTAGTCTAGGCGCCAAAACCGTCCCTACTTAAGTGTTTCTCCTACACATTGTAATCACTTTTGATTATATGAGAATTTCTGAACAATTACTTCAGCTAATTCCCTCAAGAGTCACCGAAAATTCCAAGAGAGAAAACCTAAGAGAATGCCTTCAAAATCCCTAGGAAAACCTAGTTTTCCTTCCCTTTGAAGTGTGCAATCCTTTGAGTTCATGAGCTTGGATACTTCCTTCTTCCATTTCCGCAGATTGTTCTTCATCTTCACGAGTTCTTCAAGTGTGTTTTTATCTCCATTGAAGAAGATCCGAGCCTAGGAGGAGTTTAGGAAGAGTTTGAGCTTCACTCCTACTACTCACCTCCATCATATATTGACAAGATCATGGACACCATAGCTAATTACAAGTTTAAGAGGATCTTTTATCGTTGTCTTAATTTATGTGGACGATGTCATTATCACGGAAACATATTCAACTCGTATTAGTTAATTTCTTCAAACAAAATTTGGATAATAAATATCACATTGAAAGTGTTAGAAAAATTAAAATATTTTTTCGGCATTGAAGTTGCACGATTACCTATTGGCATTGCCTTAAGCCAATGGAACAATGTGTGGGCATTTAAAATAAAGTGGCATGATGGGTTGTAAATCAGCTTCATTCTTTTTGGACAAAAACATCACTTGACAGCAGGAGCTGGTCCAACTTGAGCATATCTAAGACAAGATCGGTGTCTTGTAGGTCACTTGATTTATCTTAATATCATTTAACCTGACATTAGCTATGTGGTGCTATCTTAATATCTTAATATCATTGAAAAAGTGTAACATCCTGATTTTTATAAAATATAATATAAATATATTATTAATAATTTTAGCATTTTTATTTTATTGATATTGGAACCGATTAATTAATTGTGTAACAGATTTTAGAATATATTATATGATATTTTATTAAAAGATATTATAATATTTATTAAATAAGATAAGAGATTTTTTAGATAATTGTGGTTAATATATTTTAACTAAAGGGTTAAAGGAAAGTTATGATTTTAAAAGAGGACACTAGTGCAAAATGTGGAATCTACGTCAGCCTTTTCTCGTCGGACATACAAATATCCAATGTAAAAAAAACGCGATTATAATTTTGAAAATAAAGTAAAAGTTTTTTACGTCGGGCTACACTTGGGCCAACGTAAAATACTTTTTTATTCCCCCCAGACACTTCATCTTCTTCGTGCGTGGCATTCGTTCACAACACAGCAAGCTCTTTAATCGTGGTGCGATTTTTGGCGTAGCTTCATCGACTCCATTTGGGCATTTCCGGCCACTATACTCTCTGGCGAACGGCTTCGCGACATCTGTGGTGTGTTTTCGACATTGTGACTGATTGCATTGGGCATTTGAGGTTAGTATATATATTTGAGGCTTTTGAATGAGCCATTTGTAGTTGCTTTTGTTTTGAGGATTTTGAACGAGTCATTTGTGGTTGCCTTTGTTTTGAGGGTTTTGAACGACCCATTTCTAGATGCCTTTGTTTTGAAGGTTTTGAACGACCCATTTCTAGTTGCCTTTGTTTTTCTTGATGCATTCGTCATCCACATGCTATATTCCTCATGCATTAAGTTTGTTGTTGTATATTTGGACTGTGCAAAACGTGAGGTTGTTTCGTGCGCGTAGAGGGCCAGGAGGATGACCTTGAAGCCGGCCTGAGGTTTCTAGTCGACGATGCCGGAGAGGTGGAAATCATTTTATGTCGGACATGGTGGATCTGACGTAAATTTACGTCTCCTGCATTAACGTCAGACTTATTTACGACGGAAAAACCCCAAAATAACCGACGTAAAATACCTCTTTTGCACTAGTGGGAGTTTTCTAATGAAACCCCTTTTACATCTCCATTTTCATGTACACACTTTAGAGTTCAAAGAATAGGAGTAGAAAGGAAATCACACTAGAGTTTTATACTTGTCATCTAGAGTTTATCTAGGTATGGGGGGAGTGAGTAGTCTCGCTCTAGACGTGAGATATATGTTAGGTAGTGGGATTGATTCTCAATCCCTTCTTTGTTGCCTCTATTGTATGAAGGGGGTTCTCCTAATTAATTACTTAATGTGTTTTTTTTTTTTGCTTTCTATATGATTCTTTGTTATTCTATTTGATGTTGTATAGTTGTATATGTCTCCAACTTCATGATTGTACTTGTAATTGTGAAGTTTGGATAGCCTGTAGGCTCTTGCGTAAACCTTAAATGGTTGTTGTGTGAGTAGTTAAAAGGAATATGTAATTAGAATGTGAAATTGATGTTTGATTTGAATAATTGATGATATAATAAAGTAGTATTAAGTTTTAGTCATGATTTTTACCGATTGGATTGAAAAAGAGAGTTTGAATGTAAGTTATGTTAGATTTTGAAAATTTTAATATGAACATACCTTAGTATTTATCTGACTTTTCTATGTATGATTAATGAAATTGAGTTACAATTGTTAGGTTAGTAAGTAGACATTTATCGATATAATTTTGACTTAAGAATCACATAAGAACATTAAGGAATGACTGAATTATCAGTTAAAAGATAAATCTCATATTCTATGTGCGAAATGTAATATGTGTATGTTGTAAGCCTTTATATTAGACTTAAATGATAGAATTAGGTTTTGTAATCTTCATAGAAGTTGTACTCCTGGATGTTATCTTTCAAATATCGTTGAAATCACTTAAAAATGAGATCTAGAACTCAAGTTATGATCAAATTGGTGAGCAAAGGTTAAGCTGTCAGGTTTAGGATGAAACATTGCAATTTTGTATTTCTAAAAATAGTAGATGGCATAATTAGTTCTTAAGGTCAACACAAAAATTGGATATAATTATCTTATATTTCTAATAAAATTAAGATCAATTTGATATCATATATATAGCTTTAGATAGGCATTTTGAATCACATGGTGTCTTAGAAGGTTAATTTGTGGAAATGTAATTTGTGAATAAAGATGATGAATAGTTTTACCTTTAAGAGTTTGACCTTATGAATGGTTTAAGGTACTTATATTAATGTTTAGGAAGGATGAATTCTGGTAGAAAACAATTTTTAATAGGTTATGATGTAAGTTGATTGTTAATGACTTGATATATTTTAATGATAGCGATGTCTAAGAACTTCATATGTGATAGTGATAAAGTTGCTAGACTAGTTAAGCTATTGATTTAAATTCTTAGTGATAATGATATTAGTGATTATATGGTTGAGGTGCTAACATGTGATTAAATGATTTCATAATAATTCTTACTTGAGATGCAATGAATGATGTTATGTAATCATTGTATTACTTAATAATTGGTTGTAGTGTGTGAGTATGCCATTGATATGACATATTGCGTGCTATGTATGAGTTGATTGATGTGCTTTGACATTGATGTATTTGCTGTGTATGAATCCTGTAAGGGTCATACGATGAGAAGTCTAAGCGTGGCTTAGCCATATGATATGATATGATAAGATGTGTAATGTGTTATGGTATAAGACCATGTGAATATAATGCATAGAGTCTATTTGACATGCATCATATGTATAAAATATTTTTAAAGCTTAGGAACCAAACTTGGGGATAACTCAGTTTGGAAGTTTCAATCCTGCCTTCATAAGCATGTGATGTATCTTGAACAACTTATCTATTCTGAGTAAACACTGGTAGTATATCCTTCCAATGAGATTGCTCAAAGGGTGTGACTCGACATATAATTCTATACTACTTTACGTGTATTGATAGTAGTAATGCTCAAGTATGACATGTGATGTTTTTACTGGCACCACATGAATGTTAACATGTAATATGTGTGCATTGCATAATTCATCTTAATGTTATGTGGTATTTAGTTGTTATATTGTCAATGAATGGAATATGATATATATGATCAATATGTTTATGTTATGTTGATATAAGTTTTGTTTGTGTTTGCCTACCCAACTGCATTTTAGTCATGAGCTAGAGTGAGATGTTCATCACTTATCTTATTTTATATTGTTCTTCTTAGATGTTGTTGCAAGTGATCTTCAACAGGATGTTAAGGATGCTGGTGATAAGGCTTAGTCCTCATAAAAAGGTTATTCTTTGATAGGACATGTGACACCAAAAAGTTAGTTAGGATTTCATTTGTGTTATTTAATTTGAGTAGTTTAATTTTAATTCCTTTGTAATTTAATATTTTCACTAAGTCTAGTTTATGTTAAAATGTGATTCTCTCTACCTATATGATTTTGAGTTTATGTATTATATTTGAGGTTATTCAAATTCTCAATATATAATGTGTCATGACATGC